TAATAGCTATTAAAATCTATTAATTTCTATAGAGCGTAGTCGATAGTAGACTAATAAAGTCGATTATCTACTTCTCGAAAGGTTAGGAGATCTATTTAATCTATAAATATAGTTCTTTCTAGTTCTTCTTCTACTTCTAAACTAACTAGTATTAGTTATAAATTCGAGTATATATAAGAATATTCTTCGTTATAGATAGCTACTATTCGTATATCTTAATAATACTTTCTATAGCGGCCGCGCTATAATATCTATAGTATTTATAATAGTACTTAATAAAGTCTTAATAGAACGATATAGGAATAAAGAAAATAAAGTAATTACTAATTTTTCGGAATAGGTAGTCTTCTTTTATAAAGTATTAATCTAGATTCTTAATACGTACTAGCTACTCTTTCTAGATCGAGCTTAAGTTAGATTTATTCTTCGTTATTAATTAAGCTATAATAGTATCTTTCTATTCTATATTATTATTCGAATATACTATTTATTAGATATTTAGAAATACTTCTACGCTACTAGAGATCTATACTTTATTAGTAGAGCTCTTTTTTAGAAAATTAGATCGTCTAGAAATAGTATTAGAGATAATAGCTTCGAAGTCTTTATAATATCGAATATCTAAATCGAACTTAGAAAACTTATTAATCTATTATATAAGGCGCTTCGAAGGCGTCTAAGTAGTATTTAGATATTTTAGACTCTTATAATCGATTACGATAATTATCTTATAGCTATTCTAGAGATATATAATCTAGGTTCGAAGAGTATACTTAATAGTAAAAAGCTCCTTTTTATATATAAGATAGTTTAGCTCGGCCCTATTAAGTTTTTATCTATTATAGGCGATTAAGTACTACTTTCTATCGAGTTCTTCTTATAAAAGAATATAATCTAAAGTCTACTTAGAATAGTCTATTTCTATATAAAAAGACTTCGATTTATTAACTTATTATAAAACTAGTTTAATAGCGAGAGTCTTCTTAAATACTTAGAAGATATACTTATATCTTACGTTCTATTAAATAGATCGGAACTTCTTTTTTCGAAGCTTAATATCCGTCTTAATTAATAAATCGAATAGAGATATAATAATCTTTAT